TGAAAAGTGCTGGATTTTGAAGTTGGAAAAGGTGTAAGAACCCTGGATGTTGATATTTGGTTGATTTTAGGTTGTTAGAAAGTGACCAAAATCCAACATCGAGCCAACATCTTAAACCAACATCATATTGACTTCAAATACTGACATTTATTTGTCAGGTATGGCAACCAAAATCCAACGTCTGACAGACGTCAAAGTGGTAACGTCCACAATGTATCATCAAGCTGTAACATCATTAGACGTTGATATTTGGTTGACTTTAGGTTGGATGTTGGACTTTGACGACACACTTCATTTTACCGGCTGAATAAGTGCATCATCCGGGTAATTAAAGTGCACTTATTATTTTTAGAGTTTTCAGTGTGAACACACTATTACACTATTTATACTACAAAATGGCGTAGCATAGTGCATAAGTATGCGATTTGGGACGCAGCTACAGTGTCTGAAATAAAGGAGTGCAAAAGCAAGAGTCTTTATTTTCTGTGCGTTCACCATGGTTGAATGAATGAATGAATACTAGAAAAAAAATATTGCAAAAAAAAAATATTGCAAGGAATGTGGTGACAACATAAAAATTTATATTTTTATTACTTTATTACTTACATTTATAAACCGAAATTATTAGCATTTTTTTTATATAGACTTTTTCTGATTCAAAAACATAACCAAATAAACTAGTATTTCAAATCTCGCGCGCACGGAACTGCTTGGACGACACTAGAATACATCATATCCGGTTGGCAGGTCGCATACGGTCTATTCGCAGCAGTTTAAATAGGCAGCTAGCTCTCTGCAACTCTCACATGGTCTCTCACTGAAGCTAAGCAGGGCTGCGCCCGGTCAGTACCTGGTTGGGAGACCACATGGGAAAGCTAGTTTGCTGCCGGTAGTGGTGTTAGTGGGGCCAGCAGGGGGCGCTCAACCTGTGGTCTGTGTGGGTCCTAATGCCCCAGTATAGTGACGGGGACTCTATACTGCTCAGTGAGCGCCGTCTTTCAGATGAGACGTTAAACCGAGGTCCCGACTCTCTGCGGTCGTTAAAAATCCCAGGATGTCCTTCGAAAAAGAGTAGGGGTTTAACCCCGGCATCCTGGCCAAATCTGCCCACTGGCATGGCCTCCTAACCCTCCCCATATCATAATTGGCATATCATCACTCTGTCTCCTCTCCACCAATCAGCTGCTGTGTGGTGTGCGGTCTGGCGCAAAATGGCTGCCGTCGCGTCATCCAAGTGGATGCTGCACACTGGTGGTGGATGAGGAGATTCCGCCAACTGTGTAAAGCGCTTTGAGCGCCCAGAAAAGCGCTATATAAATGTAAGGAATTATTATTATTTTTTATTAAAGAATCCGCAGCTCAAATCGGATCCAAATTTTCCGCATACGGAGATGATCAGAACTCCACACAGCTCCCGGACTGAAATAAATTGACTTTCGGTCTGTCGCTTGTCGTTTGTCATGTGCAGTGGAGAGGAGGCTTTATGGTAGGTACACACAGTGCGTACAGCTGTACGGCTGCAGGAGCCACTGATGTGTTCAACATTTCAGCCACTGCATATACTTACACTTAAACTTAACAAAACTGCCAATTACCTCAGATATTCCCCCTCAAATGTTTGTCACGCATCTCAAACAGTTCCTCAGTCTGTGCTCATGAGCATAATGGGATTAAAGCTGCTTAAATGTACCTGAGTTAGAAAGCAGACGCTCTGAGCTTGGGTTTCTCATGCGCAGCTGTTTATTTTCACAGTTCTGCTGTGACATTTTCTTTCTGTCACGTCTGTCAGCTCTCATTAGCGCGTGGCCGCTGCCACTGTGCTGCCCACTGTAAAGCGATCAGGCCGACGCACAAAGATCCAGTGATGCATGTCTTTTATCACTCGCAGCCCTCAATGCTTCTCTTATATGCGCAGATGCACGCAGAGAGACCGTGAGCTCTCAGATTGCACAGTTTACATAACACTCATGTTCCCTTCACACGGCACACATCCACATGTGATACACTGCACCGCTCCGGCAGGATAATTGATGATAATGTACACTCGGCTTAACACTTTCTGAGCCGCCTGCAACTCGCTGTCAATAAATGTATGACCACAGATTCAGTTGAAGTCTAAATGATTAGCCCTCCTGTGATTTTGTTTTCTTTTTTAAATACATCCCAATTGAATTTTTCAGAGTATTTCCTACAATATTTTTTCTTCTGGAGAAAGTCTTATTTGTTTTATTTTGGCACTGTAAAAAAATGCTCTCGTAATTTAACGGTAAAATAACGGCAGCAGGGTTTCCAGCAGTGAACCGTAATCCTACAGTATAATACTGTGTTCTAATTTAAATAATAGTAATACATTTTTCTAATTGCCTATTAAAATACATGTGCTTGTGTAAATACCACTGAAAGCAGCTCGTTATTCTTGTATTAAATCAGGGGTTCCCAAACTTTTCAGCCCGCGACCCCCAAAATAACAATTCCAGTGACTCGCGACCCCCAATATCCTCTGAGGTGGTTATAAATACAGAAACCTTGCATGCAATGACGCAGACACACCAATTAAATTTGTGTCATTGCTATAAATGTGCCAGAAAGTATAACCTGATGTTATAAAATCAAAATGCATCTGACGCTATTGCTGCCTTTAATATAATGTAATTACCCCAGGGGTCGCAATCTAATAGAACTAGTAACTATAAGCTACTATAGAAACTATATAGTATATAGTAACTATAAACGACTATTTTTATTTTCAGTATAGTTATGGATAAAATATGTTAATTCTTATGGTTTAATAAAAATAAATAGATTTTTGGAAATCACCAGGCGACCCCCGTTCATTGCCCCGCGACCCCTCGGGGGGTCCCGACCCCCACTTTGGGAACCACTGTATTAAAGAACCGTTTCGGTTGCACCCCTCCCCCCACATACAAGGTCACATGCTTTTTTTTAAAGGTAATAAACTGATTTCAGAAAACAATTCAGGAGGCCTAGGGGTAGACCCAGGACACGCTGGAGGGACTACTGTATGTCTCTCGGCTGGCCTGGGAACGCTTTGGGATCCCCCCGGAGGAGCTGGAGGAAGTGTCTGGGGAGAGGAAAGTCTGGGCTTCTCTCCTTACCGTACGTTCACACCGAAAGCGGTGAGAGCGTCAAAGTAGCCGGAAGTCATTCATTTTCAATGAGAGCCGGCGGCGATAGGCGGCGAGGAGCAGCGCGGCGAGGAGCAGCGCGGCGCGTCTTCGCCGGCGTGAGCGTCGAGGAGAGTTGAAATGAAGTCAACTTTATGGTAATGAGCTATGACGCGGTTTGGCGGCAAGCAATCAGAATGAAGACGTCCATCGATTGATAGCAGTTCAGAGAACACAGACCTGTGAACTTTGGTTCCGACCACAGTTGTTCCCAAGGGTTTGATTATTGCGGTCACCGGATTTCCAATTATTTACAATTTTTTCCCTACAGGAACATACATTAAATAAGTTACTGGCGAGTTACTGATGTTCATTAATGATAAATTTATCTTAAAAAAGCGGGAATCTACTCTGGTCTGCATCACAAGCTCCATCTTTTAAAATGTGGATATCACAGATTGCTACATGGCTACCATTAGAAAAACTTACCTATGACAAACATAAAAAATCTGATAGATTTTGGTCAATTTGGTCTCCCCTTTGAGAGTACATAAAAGAGCTCTCTTAAATTAACACAACATCCTTGACATTCATTTACATTTTTTGTTATAACCTACTCTAAGATGATGTAATTGTACTTTTAATTATTTTTCACCTATATATTTTATTTTTTACATTAATTTCTCTTTTACTTTCACTCTCAAGACTGTACATTCTCTTTATGCTACAACATTTTGATGTTAATGTTTTGTGAATATGGGCATACAATAAAAAAAAATAATAAAAAAAAAGCGGGAATCTCACGCGATGTGACGGTACAAAACAGTACTGCTGCTTCAGGATATTTCAGACATATGGAAACATATTGGATAAATAGAGCAAAGCCACACCACACGCAACTTGATCTTCCATTGTTGTATGAATTTGATAAGAAGTGCGCAACATTTTCACGCTAGAAACATGTCTTATGCAGGAATGTAACTGATATGCTGCAACGGCTCCTTTAAATACTAGATCAATGTAGCGAGTTTTGACGCTCTCGCCGCCGGAGCTGAAGGCAGAGAGCGTTGTCGCCAGGGCGGCCAGAGCGACCTTGGACGCTCTCGCCGCTTTCAGTGTGAACATACGGTTAGACTGCTGCCCCCACGACCCGGCCCCGGAAAAGTGGCAGAAAATGAATAATTGTAAGAATGAATGAGTTCAGTACTGTTAAATTTGGCTGTAAATTTACAGTATTTTATACAGTGTAAAAGCAGTTTCTAATTTTTTACATGACATTTATTGCCATACTACTGAAAGCAGAAGCATATAGTTAACATAAAATAACAGCAGACCGTTTGAAAATTAAAGTCAAAACAGTGACTGTTACCAACATCAGTCACTCAGCATCCTATTAATAATGCTAAACAATTTTAATATGTCCAACCCTAAATCAGAAAAATTTGGGACAGTATGGAAAACGCAAATAAAAAAGTAGTGATTTCTAAATGTACTTTTATTTCATTGCAAACAATATAACAAACATTAATTTTTTTTTATTTACAATTTTGGTTCTTGCAACACATTTCAAAAAAGTTGTAACAGTAAAGCATTAAGCACTTTGTAACATTGCCATTCCTTTTCTCAACACTTAAAAGACTGAAGACACCAAGTGATGAAGTGTTTCAGGTGTAATTTTGTCCCATTCTTCTAAGGTGGGCAACAGTACGGGTCTTCGTTGTCACATTTTGCACTTCAAGGGCTCTATTTTGACGGTACAGGTGAATTGGGTAGGCTAAATTGTCCGTAGTGTATGAGTGTATGTGTGGATGTTTCCCAGAGATGGGTTGCGGCTGGAAGGGCATCCGCTGCGTAAAAACTTGCTGGATAAGTTGGCGGTTCATTCCGCTGTGGCGACCCCAGATTAATAAAGGGACTAAGCCGACAAGAAAATGAATGAATGATTGTTTATTGTCATATCACAGTAAAAGCTCAAACTTCTGCTGAACTGCGACCACTAGAAAACAGGTCTGAACATCTGCTAATGCAATACATCTGGCAGAAATATACGAATAATAAACAGTTGCTCAACACTGCAAACGCACAATATGTGGCTTTATTGAGCTTAAATAACAGGGTTTGCTTCGTTTTACTTGCGGTTGATCCCCATAAAGGCTTCAGGTTTGGGATAGAGAGGATCTGCTTGGCTTGTTTGGTGAAAGGTTTACGGAAGAAATGTAATTTGTGAATGGGGAACATGATGTAAAGCAGGTGCTTATGATTTCATATTTATAAACAAGCAATATCAGACCGAAATCCTGGAGAGATTGTGTTACTACACTAAACACATTTGCAAATTACATATTTAATGTTCTGTGAAGATTGTGTACATAATGCATTACTACAACATTCATAATGTATTGCAATCAGATGTTATCATGAATAATTGCAACCACAGACTTTTACGTTTTTTGAAAGAGTGTTGCTTGTGAGCTCACGGCCATGCAAATGTGTTTATTTTGTGTGTTTAAATATATATATTTCTTTTTCATTATTTTAATCACTTTTTTCATTTGTTTTTATTTTCTTATACTTGACTCTCAGGAATAACAGGTCTATGCAAAGCACTTTGAATTGCCACTGTGTATGAAATGTGCTATATAAATAAACTTGCCTTGCCTCGTCCAAATGAGGGCTGGGTTTAGGTGCTATGCCTCCTTTTAAATATCGTGCATTACATTTCCATTGCCTTAATATAATTTTTTTTGTATAACTGAACCTGAATTAGCCATTAAACTGACAAAACGTAAAATAGTTGTTTCCCCGATGAGATCAATGCAAACTAATCTCTTCCGCTGAATCACGCTATTGTTTCTCTTCCACTGTGATCTGGAATGAGGATCAGGCTGCTTTTGCATTGCTTTGGCAGATTGTCCGTGTGTGGAGTGCTCAGCTATAACTCACCTCAGAGATGACCTGACGAGCCCCGGATCTGCTCCTGAAAACACACAAGCTGTGACAGACAGCAGCCGATCGGGGACTGAGTTTTCCAGAAGTGGCTCATAAAGGCAGATCGTGTGCTGAACCACAGCCATGTTCACAGCAAAAACAGCGGAAACAAGACAATTCACAAACAGTAAAGAGAGAAATACAACTTTAAAAGACGCAATATGTACAATTTTTCATTTAAATATATATATATATAAAAAACACTATAACAGTGTTATATATTTTGCTGACTTATTTATTGCGTACTTACATTGTCCCAAATGTGTTGAAGAATGTTCAAACAGACATCATCATCAAAATACACCTTGGTTCGTTGTGAATGCACACCCTCTAGTGCAGTGTTTCTCAACCACTTTCCTAAACCAAACAACACCTGATTCAGATCATCAGCTCATTAGCAGACGTCAAAAAGTTTAACCCAACTGGTTGAGATATTAATAAATAACCCAATATAGGTAAAAAATAACCCAACTAAGCAACAAATATTTTTAACTCAACCATTAGGTTAAATAAATAACTCAACGTTTTTTAGAGTGTATATAAATAAATAAGTAAAATACACATTCAAAAACCTTAACAGACATATTGTCCCAAATAAGCATCCTATAAATAAAACAGTTTGTTTAGAGAATGTGAATATCAGTCAGGATCAATGTTCAATCTCCAATATCACAAAAATGTGCAATGTTAAATCTGACCTGAAGAAGATACAGTGTGTGTGTGTGTGTGTGTGTGTGTGTGTGTGTGTGTGTCTGTGTTAGAGCCTTCAGATGACTGCTGAAAGCTTAACTTAGTAAGCAGACACAAGCGAGTGTGTGTGTGTGTGTGTGTGTGTGTGTGTGTGTGTGTGTGAATAATAAAAGGAAATAAAAGACAGGCTGTCAGATACCTTCATAAATCTCTGTCCATCTCCTGTGAGAAAAGCTGTGGGATTTACGAGGATCTACAACATCAGTGCGTCCGGCTCACGGGGAACACCTTGAAATATCATACAGGGCTTTTACTGCGGGACGTTTACAAGGTGCTGACAGAAAAATGTGAGAGCTTTAAAGGCTTTTGAGACAGGACATCAGTATTATCTGTTTAAAGGCAACAGGTCAACAGATGAAGACATGAGAGTGGATTAAACTGAAGCAGAGATGAAGACAGACGAGTTAACAGAGGAAACACACACATCAGTGTTTAGTCCTCACCAGTGTCGGGGAGAATACTTTGTAAATGTATTTAGTTACAGAGTACAGAATACCTGCTTTAAATTGTATTGTGTAACTTATTTCGTTACTTTGCTTAATCTTGGTATTGTATTCTAAATACTTGGAATACTTCCCTTTTAATCAGCCTTTAAGTCTATTAAAGAAAAGAAAAACTTCAAAATAGTTTATGTAAAACCAAAGTATGTGACAGGCTGTAACAGAAAGTTGCTTCGGCTGCGGCTCGAACCCCTCGAGCTCCTGGTCTGAATCCTCCATATTTGTACACTCTAGTTAACCAGGGCTGCCAACTTTGGCTGAGGTGCCCATAAGTCCCGCCCACATTTGTGTCAGAAAAGCGAACGTAAATTTAAGAAGCGTAAACGAAACCTCTGAAAGCGTAAACGAAACATCAAGCAGCGAATTCACGAACAATGACGACAAAAAAAGCAGTTTATTTGAAAATCATGGTTGTTGTCTGGTTGTTCGGTGTTTGCGATCATCCTTTTTGCTGCGTGAGAAAATGGAGGTGTGGCGTGAGAGCATGAAAACAGGGTCATTGGCGTGAGTCTCACTGAGTTAACGCTGGTGTTTGCAGTCGGGAGTGTAGCTTCTTTTTCTATGGTTTCGGCTGCAATTTAGTCATATTATTATGGGCCAGACATGCATCACCCGAAGTATTCCAATGGTATTAGGAAAGTAACTGTGTTACGGTTATTTAAGATGGAAACGCTAGGGTTAACACAACATTTAAAACTCATGACTCTTTATGAATGGTGGCGGCAATAGAGCAGACAAACAACCAAATTAAGTGTTTATTTACAAAGTGGATAACTGAAAAAAAGAATATATAAAATAAAGAAAACAAGAATAAATAAATGGTTGTAATAAAGGGGAGGAGGAACAAAAGTGGCGCCAAAGAAAAGAAAATAATATAACAAAACACAACTCTAACTAGAACCCTCAATCTCTATACTACCTAATAAAAGAAAGAGAAAGAAAAGTCTTCAGCGTTTTCTCGCCCTATCTAAACTACACTTCTAAACGCAAACGTAAACAAAACTTACAATTAGTGGCGCACACTTCTAAACTAGTGTGTAAACACATTGGTATCTCCCACGTGTAGCAACATGTAGGTCACGTGACATCTACCCTGTTACTCGAATCCCATGGATCTCGTATATCTGGTAATCAGAGAGAAAACACAATTAGAACACTTTTAAAGATCGATTTCAGCACAAATGATTATAACACGCATAGCACAAGAAACGGTCACATAATCCAGCCATCCAGCAAAACACACAGTCAACCAACATAGCAAACACAAAACAATGAGCAAGCAAAAAGCAAACTAGCTTTCGACTGCACCTGCTTCCTTTTTAAGTGGGGAAGTCTGCTTGTGATTGGACAATGATGATGTCATCGCAAACGGTAATGATGACTGGCATCTTGCTTAGCCAATAGGGAAATGAGCTGGGCGGACCTAAAGAAAATGATAGGTAGAGAAGGAGGGAGAGAGAAAAAAAATACAAACAAACACCGGCACAGATACTGAGCCATAACAAACTGTATTCTAAATACCCTGTTTAAAATTAGTAACTGTAATGGAATACAGTTACTCATGAATAGTATTCTAAATACGTACGGCCGGTACATGTATTCCGTTACTCCCCAACACTGGTCCTCACACTGTTTACTGACGACTTCTACTTTTCCGTTTCTTAGCGGCTGATCCTTTTCCTTGTTTTGAGCATAATCATTGTAAATATTGAAAAGGGATTTTATATTATAAAATATATATATTTACTATTATATATATAATATTTATATTAGATTTTATTTTTATTTTAGATCAGTCTTTCACAACACGCACAGCGATCTCAGATCAGTTCATCTAGACATTTAAATCTGATTCGCAAACTTGTTTGAAGAACCAAATTAGCTAGACCACACGCAGCACAGCTACCAAGCTGACCAATCACAGAGCTTGCGTGATTCAGGTTTATGTGATGTGTAAACACACACAGACAGACAGACACACAAACACACAATATATAATATATATTAAAAGTGTCTAGAAGTAAGTTTGAACAGAGCATATTTTTATTTAAAGATTTTCCATATAAAAATGTGAACGAAATTGAACAAACTCAATACAAAATTACATTTGTAAAGTGTTACCAAAATCAAGATGGTTTCCATTACACAACAGCAGGAACTACTTCTACACATCATCAACAAAAGACACAATTCTAATGCAAAACATATCAAAACTGACTAAAAGTAGGAAATTAAAGCGGTTTACAAAAGAGGAAACTCCTACTAGAGTATTACATCAATCTAGAATGAACACAAAATGAAAAAAAAAGTGTGTGATTCAGGTTGATGTGAGCTGTAAACACAGACTGACACACAAACACACTGAGCGCAGTCGTCCTGCAGTGTTGAGTCCAGCTCTCTCATTGACCTCAGCAGGCCAGGAAAGTCATGCCGTTCCTGCGGTAGACGCTCTGTCAGAGAGAAGAGAAATGTGTTGTGAATTAACTCCACAGACTCTTGTTTTCCGCTTTCACAGACGACACGGCCTGGAATGTGCAGCCGCTTTCTTTAAAGTTTAACGGAGGCTATTTCTGTGTGTTACAAGACACCGTCCTCAGCTATTACAATCGCAGATACACAACAAATGCGGTTAACAAGTAGTTTGTGAATGCATTTAGGGAAACAACGCTCTGATTTGTGCATCACTTCACTTTAAAGACGTCACAGGGGTGATTGTGAGGGTGCACAAAGCCAGTTAAAGTACACATGATATCAAACTAACCATGTTGATTTTGTTAGCTCACATTGCTAGTTTTGTGCTGAACAATTCATCTGTGATTGTCATTAAGAACAAAAAAAACAAACAAAAAACAAAACAAAACAAAACTAAGTGTGTCCTTGTAATCTAAAATTGAAATCTGAAAATGCACTTCCTGTTTGTTTTCAGTAAAATTCTCAAATTACACTGGTTAGCACTGTTGCTTACAGCAGGAAGGTTACTGGTTTGAGTTCCGGCTGGGTCAGTTGACTTTTCCGTGTGGAGTTTGCATGTTCTTACCGTGTTGCCGTGGGTTTCCTCCGGGTGCTCCGGTTTCCCCCACAGTCCAAAGACATGCAGTATAGGTGAATTGGGTAAGGTAAACTGGCCGTAGTGTATGTGTGTAAACGTAAGAGTGTATGGGTGTTTTCCAGTACTGGGTTGCAACTGAAAGGGCTTCCACTGTGTGAAGCATATGCTGGAATAGTAAATAAAGGGACTAAGCTGAAGGAAAATGCATGAATGAATTGATTTCACACCGACTTTTTGTCCAAGCTGTTCACATATTGGCAATAAAAAAGGATTCATTTATGAAAACTCAACCCTAATCAGTGTTGGGGAGTAACTTGTTACATGTAACGGCGTTACGTAATTTAATTAAAATTAAGTTAAAATTAAACAAAATAAATGTGACTGTAATTCGTTACAGTTACTGAGAAAAAATGTGTAATTAAATTACAGTTACTTATGAAAATGTTAAAGCGCACCTATAGTGAACAATCTACTTTTTTAAGCTGCTTGGACAGACATGTGTGTAGGTACATTGTATAGACCGTCATATTTGTGTGATATACACACACACAGTCCCTTTTTTTTTTTAATTTAACAACATAAAAACGGTGGAAAAATTGGAGCGTTTTTTAGGTCGACCGCAACTTGACGTAGGAGTGTAGTCCCTCTGCCCACCAAAATTGATTGATAGGTGCATTACCATATCCTCAGTTTGTTGTTTTTACGTCCGCCATTTTCAGTGTGAGTCAAAGCGATGTCACTAAAAGTACACCCTTACTCGATTTTTTTGATGTAAGGCTCATTGGGCTCATCACAAGATCAACATTCACCATGATCGCTCTCATCGGAGCCATTGTTTGTAACTTTAGGTGGGTTTGCAAACATGACCTTTCATTGCGTCAACCTTAAACTTCAGCCGTTTGCATTTCTTGCATTTACAGAAGCTCCCTGTGATCTTAACTAGGTGCAGCTGGAAAGTGCGAGCGTGTTGCCTCGTGGGCGTCCCTCCATTGGAAATAAATGAACAAACTTGCCTGCAGATCGCACACCAGAAGCACCGCTCGGCGCTACACAGTGCGATACATTTAAGAATTCTAAACATAAATTTCTATTAGGGTACACACATGGCGCTTCAAGTCGGCGGCAGTCCGCAGCACCCAGCCACCACTCAGGACACTTTATATTTCTGCCGCGTCACAGAGCTCCATCTGAATAGTTTCATTTTAAATAACATGCAAATGTGCGTGTCTGAGTGTGCCGTGTCGCGGCTCTGGTGCCTCAGTCAAAGTTAATTCAGTGTGCTTGATTATTAGTCTCAGTGTACAAGCTTGGAACTTGAAACTAGCACACAATTGGCTGTAAAACTATACAAAGACACAAAGGATTTTGTACTCTCTGTTTGGTCTGTGTCCGAGTCGTACATGTACTGCTGAATGCTGATCCTCTCACTCATGTAGCTTCTCTCTGTCTGCCTGTCTGCTGCCAAACCCAGAGCGGGGGAGCTCTTGGCTCCGCCCCCTTGTTTCATTGGGCGGGAAGTCGAAACTAATGAAGCAACACGCCCCTAAAACAGCGAGCTGTGTACACGCCCCCGAAATGACACTTTTTAACACATTATAATAAACAAATCTGAACTGTGTTTTGAACTTAACCTAAACTATCACACTCAGAAGAACCATAATATTAATATTAAATCTTGAAAAAGTTGCTTTGATTTAAAAATGAAAATTGCAGAAATAACTTAAAGGAATTTCTATTGCAAATGCCACAAAAATCATCCTGCATCCTAAACAGGAACTAAAATGTTGATTTTGTAACAACAGTAAAAAAAATGTTGTGTTATAAGGTCTGGTTTTGTGGTGGCTGTAATTTAAAATCAAATGAATATAATCTTAATTCAAGTGATGAAAGATTTGTAAGGTCTTTAAGGTCACACCAGCTTGGTATATATGCTTGAAAATGATTTAGTCGAAAATATCCATTAGAAATGTAAAAGTAATCAAAAAGTAATCAGATGTAATCAGTACCTTTACTTTTATAAAGTGTACTTTTATAGTGTAAAGGTACACTCCTTATTACATTTTAAATATGGTTATTTGTAATCTGTAATTACATTTCCAAAGTAACCTCCCTAACACTGGCTATAGGTGAATTAGGTGAGGTAAATTGGCTGTAGTGTATGTGTGTGAATGTAAGAGTGTTTAGGTGTTTTCCAGTACTGGGTTACAGCTGAAAGGGCATCCACTGCTTAAATCATATGCTGGATAAGTTGGTGGTTCATTCCACTGTGGCAACCCCTGAATAAAGGGACTTAACCAAAAGCAAGCCAAGGAGAGCCATTCAATCAAAACCCTCGAGATTTCTGAAGAACTCTTCCTTTCCATCATCATCTCAGACGTCACTGTTTGTAATTGACACACACGCGCTCAGTTGTGTAACCATCATACTGTACATCATCAGTCATCTGAACTCCCATAAGCACAGTAATAAGTGGTCAAACACAAATATAATGTTAATTACTCACGAACACGACTCTTCTGCCAACACAGATCTGTGTTTTTAGGAACAAAACCATCAGGTCACCACAACCCCGAAGCGAACGGCGAACACAGTCACGGGCTACGTATAAAAATAACAAGTGTCTTTATGAAGGGCGACGCTGAAACTCCTCTGACAGCCTGTTATAGTGCCATTCATTACCATTATTCAACCACAGGCAGCAAAACAAGAGAAACCAGCAATGCACTGTGGGTAAAAAAAAAGGAAGAGGCCGACGAAATCCAAACCCATTCAGGGTGGTAGATTGTTATATATGTCATTGAATTTCCTTGTCATAAAAGAAATGGAGAATGTGAACCAGATGTGCGCCGTTTGGCTGCGTCCTCCATGCGATACAATTTGTTTTTTGATGCGTGTGTTTTTTTGCATTGGTATTACGGCGAACTCTCTTCATTTGTCTGCCGTTTTAAACGGGACACACAAGCGAAATGGAGACAGATCCCAGACGCTACGGAGGAAAACAGACGACTCAAACTAGATACAGGCCCAGAAACATGAACTGTCTGGAGAAGAAAAAAAAACACATACAAAAAAGAAAGGATATTGTGAAAGCTCCCCTTCCACATCGGACAAGCTGGAACTTATAAAGCTAGATTCAGGCTCAAAGGTCCAGGCTTGATTTGCTGGCGACTTCTGTTTCTTCAGGTCATTATCTCTCTGTCCAATTACAGGATCAGCACAGTGGAGAGCAGATTGCTAATCAGGAGCTGGAGAACATCTGATCCTACCCCTGAAACACTTACACCTGCATCTGTACAGTGGATGTGGGAACGCCCTAACAACCAGCAAAGCATTGCTGCATCCCAATTCGCTTTCTTAGGCCCGTTTACACAAATACGTTGTAGTTGTTAAGTGTATACAGTTTGCTACGGTTACGCCTTCCATTCACACTACCCAGGAATTTGCAGGCACTGAAAATACAGCATTTTGAAAACTAGGAATGCACCGATCCCAATATTTGAACCAGGCATTGGTTCAATACAGCATATCTTTGCTGGATCAGGTATCAGCCAGCAGGTTCTGATCCATATCCGATTCCCAACTGGTAACATTTTCAGTGGGTCTCGGAGTGTGTGGCCAAAAAAAGAAAAAAAGTTACATTTTTAACTTATTTTGACTTTTATTTTGAAATGCGTGCAACTATACAACTATGCTGTTTCACATGTGAAATTTCATTTAATTATAGCAACAAATATGTCGAAGCGCAAGTACGACCCTGAATATGTAAAGTATGGATTTACATAAATCGACGGCAAAAAAGACTTAAAGCCTCAGTGTGTCGTAAGTAGCGAGGAGCTCTCACAAGAGAGCACGAAACCTTCTAAATAAAAACGACATTTAGAAACCAAACAACATATTTATTAACAGTTCAGTTTAGTTGATGGTAACTGAACCTTTTCTTACCCTAACCACTGTTTACAGTATTTGTTGTTTTTACTCTGTAATATTTCAATAATTTGATACATTTTGTTAAATGACAGCAATAAAGTATTGTTTATTTGTAAGTCTTGGTGATTTTCTTATGATTTTTTTTTGTCACTACTTGCGTATGTTAACAAATAAATACAAATGAATTTTAATTTCTAAAATTGTATTGTAGTTCCTAAAAATTTGGGTCGCGACTTGATGACCATGTAAAAATGTGAGTCCCATGGCCAAAGCAGTTGAGAACCCCTCCTATATTCTGTGTTTATGAGCCAACTAAGTCATGAAGGCAGCTTATTATAAGGTGTTAGAAAGTTGTCATGTAGGCCTACTACATCCCAAATGTTCTGAAATCATTCTATAGTTTAATGCAGAGGTGAGCAAACTTTGGCCCGTGGGCCATATGCGACCCGCTGAACACTTTCATCCGGCTCGCAG